GAGATTTTCTATTTTAGAAGAATCTTTCTGCTATAACTTCTACATTAGAAAGTGATATTTACTTTCTATAATAAACACATAGCACATTGTAATTATAATTTAAGACTTTTTTTATATAAAGCATATTATATAAGTGGCCTCATTTAATCCTCAGGTAGGCCTGATCCCCATTTTATAGCTATGGAAACTGAAAACTCAGAGATGTTAACTTGCTCTTTGTCACACAGCTGGAAAACTCAGGTCTGCAGGACTTGAAACTTATTTTCTACTATACCATGCGATAATCTCATTTGTAGGCACTTTATGACATTTTGGGGCTGTTGTGACCTAGAGAAAAGATGTATTTAAACTTAGAACACTTTGAATGCACTGTGTTGGAGTCCATCCTATCACAGTCAGGTGTAAAGTATGAATACAGGGGGCCCTGTGGAAGCATGAAAGCACTGAGGATTGAAGATACCCAAGTGGAAGAGCAAGCAGGTGAGGCTCCAGCAAAATACCAAAAAAGTTTCCTAAAGGAAGCAAAGTATACAGTTTGGCTCTGTTTAAAGAAAACTCAACAGTACCAAGAAGTGGAAATTAAAGAGAAGTTAGGGAGCGACTACACCCATTGTTTCTCTAAATATCTCTTCTAGAATTTTCTAATAGATTTCAGCTTATGCTCAACTTTTCATCAATAGGTAAAGTTTCAAGACATCGGAGGAGATACTCTGACCTAAAGGAGTAGTGTCACAAAGGCTTGCTTCACCCCTCCATCTGGTAACTGTTCTTCAGTTATTACAGTATTAAGTTCCTATTAGCATATGTGGCTTATTTTCTACACGAATATCCTTGATTATCTCTTGACCTGTTTATATTGTTTTCCTCTGAGTTGTAAGCTTCCTGTTTACAGATCACATTGTACTGTTAATCTTTGTTTCTTTGTGGCATTTTCCTAGTGCCCTTTTTACATGGTAGGTAGTCACTATTTGATATCTGATGAAAAGGATATTATGTGAGAAGTTGCAACAGAGAGGTAAATAGAGGGTAAGGTAGAAAGACAGAGCATCCAGGATAAATAGGATTGGGTAACATAAAACTGCAAGCTTCTAATCTCACTTGCAAGCTGACACAGAAATGTATACAAGCTTGAACCCTGACTCCTAGTCCAAGGCTTTCCCAGTTTCCTCTGTCATACTAGATGGTGGCCCTCATTTTTAGCTCTGCATCCATTCCTTCTACTGCGACTGCTACTGCCACCTACCTCCTCTCTCCAAGGCAGATGAAAAGCCCAAGTCTAGATTAGGGACTAGATGTTTCAGGAATGCAGAAAACAGGAAAGAGGCTTGGATGACATTATTCTGAAGACAGCAGAAGTGCTGTGTCTGTCCATAAAATGACAGTTTTGTCTAAAAGCCGTTTTCCAGGCCACACCCTCATCAGAAGTCCATTGTTTGAAGGCACCGACTATGCTTCTGATTGGTTGACACCACCCTCCCCTCCCCCACCAATCCGTGTGGCCTACTGCTCTTTCAGGACTGGCTCAAGTATCAGGTTCTCCTGTCTAGACATGTGGAGCAGGGTCAAGGGAGACTGACACAACCCAGAATAGTCACACAACTCTTTCACTGACCATGTCAAGGGTGACTGAAATTAGGCCATATTTGATAGGTGATTATCATAAAGGAAAGTATCTCCTGAGCAAGGAAGCACCTAATTTTAGTCAATATAGTAGTCCTTTCTTGTCTGTGGTTTTAGTTTCCAAGGTTTTCTGTTACTTGTGGTCAACCACAGTCTGAAAATAGTCAGGAAAAATTACAGAAGTGACTCATAATTTAAAAATTTCAGTTCTAAGTAGCATTATGAACTCTCATGCCAACCTTCTCCATCCTGTCTGGGACATGAATCATCCCTTTGTCCAGCATATTCATTCTGTATATGCTATTTGCTCCATGGCAGAGGAGACAGACCACATATATGTAACTTTTATTACAGTATATTGCTATAATTATTTTATTTTTTCATTGTTAGTGCCTAATTTATAAATTAAGCTATCATAGGTGTTTTTTCCATGCACTGGAAGAAACACAGTATGTACAGGATTTAATACTTATTATTTGTGGTTTTAGGCATCCACTGGGAGTCTTGGCACATACTCTGCTAATGGGGGATTATTCTTGTGATTATGGCTTGTACCAGGACTATGAAGTTTCCCAGTTGTAACAGCAAACTAAGTACCTAATTCCAGAGATTTCTGTAAGGTAAAATTTTGTTTGAAGAATTATGTACCTGTATCTCAAAACCAAAATATAAACAAAAGGGCTGCGGGAAGTGGCTCAAATGGTACAGTGCTTGAAGCACAGGCCCTGAGTTTAATCCCCAGTACCACACACACACACACACACACACACACACACACACACACACACACCAAACAACTACCCGCTAATACAAAAAACAGAGGAAGAACAAATACATACTTATACCTGTCTGTTATGAATGGTCAAATGCATTTTTTTTTTTTGAGGGTGCTGGGGATCAAACCCAGGGCCTTGTGTATATTAAGAAAGCACCACCATGGAGCTACATCCACACCCTTAGTTTTTTTCAGACAAGGTCTCACTTGAATGCACTATGTAGCTCAGGCTGGCCCTGATCACATTTCCTGAGCACTATGATTACAGGTATATGCCATGACTCCTTGCTTCAAGTGCATACTTCCAACCAAATTTACCCCAACAATAATCTGAAATCCAATATGGCACTGGATGTGAGTTTTCTTAATACAATGTGACACTGGCAAAACATGTTTTAAGACAGTAGCATATTTTCTAACAGCTTAAATCATGTTTTGGTTTTCTAGTTGTTCTTATCTGTATGGCAATATTTATGGGCACATATAAAACTTGAAGTTTGAAAAGGTAATCAAAAATGCATACAAATATTCTCAAGTGACATCGAGCCCACTAATTACATTTTTCTCTGTGCTTCAAAATGTAAAACAACAGTTGTTTTAAGGAATGAAGAAAAGAGGTTATGGTTGTTGTGTGAGTTTTCTGGTGTCGGTTATAGAAACCAGTCTTAGCATCACACCACACATAATTAAACTAACCCCTGAGGGAGAGAGCTAGTAAATGCCAGTGCTTTCTATTTGTTTCATTACGTGAGAGCTCCAGTAGAGAATTTTGTTTTAAAAAACAATCATGGCTTTGAGGTCAATCCTTGTTAAAAGTCAACATTTCACTACCATTTTAACCACAGCAACAAAAAATCTGTTTACTATGGAGAAACAGCAGCACTGATGTACTTTGGGTCAATATTTCCTTGAAGTGAATGCCAAATCACAAAAAACATTGGGTTAAGGAATGATCTTTTTGTAGCTCAATCAAAACTTTGTAGTTTGAAAAAGTACTTTTGGGTCAATCTTCAATCAAGCTTACCATTTTCTGAAATTCAAACACTAACAGCGCAAACCAGGCACTGCACAAAAACATTACCTCAATTAAAAGTTTAAAAAGAATGTTTTTGAGACAGGACTCAAGCTCTTCAAACTTGAGATCCTTCTGCTCAGCCTCCCGAGTGCTGAGATTGTAGGTATGTACCATCATGTGTGCTCAATTACTCTTACTTACAATCTTATGAAGTTGGTGTTATTACTCCTGCTTTACTCTTGAAAATATTTAATTCCAAAGACAGAGGTTAACGAGATCTCACAGTTAGTATGTGGCAGAGTTGAAACTCAGGCCTTATCAGACCTGGCATGGAGAAAATTTACCTAACGAAGCCACCCATACGGATTTGTTAGAAAATTGTGATAGAGAATTCAACTCAATTACAGTGATCAAGTGATTTGTACCATTGTGGAAGGCATATGTACACACACACACACACACACACACACACACACACACACGTACGTATATACCATTGTGGAAGGCATATGTACACACACACACACACGTACGTATATACCATTGTGGAAGGCATATGTACACACACACACACACACACACACACACACGTATATTTTTTGCCGCACTGGGGTTTGAACTCAGGGTCTCATACTTGCTAGGCAGGCATCTTACCACTTGAGCCACTCTGCCAGGCCTTTTTTGTTTTGGGTATTTTTGAGATAGGGTCTCACTTTTGCCTGGTCTGGCCTTGACCCTCAATCCTTCTGACTTCTGCCTCCCAAGTAGCTAGGATTACAGGTGTGAGCCACCAAAGCCTGGTCATGGGAAATATTTTTAAAGGGAGTTCAGTATCTACAACAATGTTAAGACTTCTAGTATATGAATTCTAAGTTTTTGCGAGTAGTTGTGAAATGAATCACTAGGTGATACGATGATGATTGTTTTGAGCCCAGCTGGCCTGGAGCTCATGCTCCTTCTGCCTCAGCTTCCTGTGTACTGGGATCACAGACGTCTACTGCTGTACCCAGAGATAATAACATTTTTGCAAACCAAGAAGTCTGCTTATGATTACATCTAAATGTTGCAATTAATTTGACTGCAAATAGGGCTTAGAAGATCCCAGAAGTAGGTTTTCATGAAAACGACGTGAAACAATTTACCACATACATTTAAACTTTTGGGTCTATACCACATTTCATGTTTTTCCTAAATGCTTAACCATGGAAACATATGTGTGCACACACTTGTCAAAAAGAAACTAGTAAGAATTTGACTGTTTAGAACCTCTTCACTTTTGTCATGTCAAATTCTCTAATCTTTTTTCCTCAAAGACAGACTATGGTAAATGATAGAGCACATGATCTTCAACTGCTAAATGCCAAATTTTAATCAGTTATAGTATATAGTGTTACTTAAAAAAGTTCTTTGGGGCATAGCTCAGTGTAAGAGCCTGTTTTTAGCATATGCAAGGTCCTAGGTTCAATCTACCAAAACAAAACAAAAATGTTAATTCTTGTTTCTTCATATTTTGAAGTAACTTGTTTTGCTGATTCATTTGATTGTAGTTCTAATGAATACTGGTTTTACTAGCACTTTTAGAGAAAATCTCAGCACTCCAAATTGAAGGCTGAATCAGACTGTTAGTTCTAGCATGTCCCAGTAATGTATGTCCAGTCTCGCCTTACAATGGGGACAAAGGTCACAAACCTTATGTAGGCCCTGGTATTCTACTAGGTACTTAACTTGCCAAAGCCATAGCTTATAAATCATAGAAGGGGAATTCAAATTCAGGACAGTCTGACTTGAGAGCCTTTCTGCTATGTTTTATCAGTTACTGAGTGTAATTCAAATATTTAATACTCATTATGGACCAGGCACCATGTAAAAACATTATCTTCACAACAATCTTACTTAACAATCTGTAGCTATAGGACTGGGTGCATGGCTCAAGTAGTATAGTGCCTGCCTACCAAGTGTGAGGTCCTGAGTTCAAATTCCAGTACTACTAATGTGTAAAAAAAAGTCAAGCTTCTTCATGTTAAGTTAAAATGTTTTAAAATCGTCTGAGAACATTTTCTTAGTCCTTTTACTACTCATTTCTCACTCTCTTGAATATTTCCTTCTACCTGTAGTTATTCGACCATCTTAACACTAAATAAGCATATTATTTAACCTCTCAACTGTCTTTCAGCTTGCCAAAATTTGTTTGTTTTTTATTATTTTTTTTGAGATAGAGTCTCACTATGTAGCCCAGGCTGGTCTCAAATTCATGATCCTCCTGCCTAAGCCTCCTAACAGCTTGGATTATAGGTGTGCACCACTACTCTTGGCTTTTGTTTGCTTTTATATGTACATATTTTGGCTGACTAAAACAGAAGGAGACTTAGGGTATTAATGATCAAGTATGATTTATTAAGGACAAATGGTAGAAAAAAATGTCATTCATATCCATAGATAGGTTCCTTAAAGCCATATGGAAAGAGAGACTGTTATTACAAGTTTGTTTTATTTTTTTTGGAATCAAGTACTAGTCTCTACTTACAGTTAAGATTGTGTGTGTGTGTGTGTGTGTGTGCCTTCCAATGTTAGCACAGTTAGCATCGCCTTATAAATAATCAAATAATAAACTAGGTCCCAGTGGTTATGTCCACATATAGATTGTTCCGGTGATCAGGAACTCTCTTTTATTTGAATGCTTTAGCTTTTAGTTCTTGGTTATATCTATAAAGAAAACAGAAGAAAAAACAATCACTCATAAAAACTGGTAAATTTATGGTAAGGAGAGGATGGGAGAATAGTCCATTTCTTCTTTCTTAGTTGTCAAGTGGCTATATAGTTGTAAATTTAATCATCCCAGGTGCTTAGTCAGACAAGCATTTGCCTCTGGGCTGTGGGTCATATAGTAAGATCCCAATTGCCAAAAAGTTTTTACTCAACATAGTTTTCTGTGCAAAAGTATTATTTTAATGAACTTCCTTCCTTGGGACTCATACATGTTAGGCAAGTGCTCTACCATTGAGCTACATCCCTAGCCCTATATTCATTCTTAAATTATCTAAGAATATGAAAAATATGAATATATGTATAAAGTTCAGCAAAATGTGGCCAACTAGAATGCTTTCTTTATATTCACAAAGCACCTTAGAATAAAATCAACTGGAAATGGGTTCCTGCTTGATCACTAGAAGTAAAATAATTCTTTTTTTCCAATAGGTTAACAGGTTATACATTTAAGTTTAATGATGCTAAGGACTGTTTCCTCAATTCTCATTAATCCAGAGGCAAATCAACTATAGAACCATAGTCTTTCCCCTCTATAGCTCTCTGGACTTCACTGACAATTCTTCCCAGCTTACAGTAGAGTGAAAAACAGTATTTATAGCACGACTAGTGCTTAAACTATGGAATAAGAAGGAACTTATTCCATGAAGCCCACCATACCTCCTAGATTCCTCAAAGATCCTAATTTCAAATATTTGATCATATTATCAGTATTACAATTCACAGACAATGTTAACCATTGAATAAATAGTTTAAAAAATTTCTAGTGCTCATGGAGCGCTTTCCAATAAAATCAACGACTTTACTCTAAATGTCATTTCTAATATTATAATTATACATTTAAGTCCCACTTTATTATACATAATTGAAAGCAAATGCTGTAAGGCTTTTGTTGGAAATTACTTTATAAATGTTAAGTTTTATATGTTGTCTTAATAAAAGAAACTGTGTAAAAGGGGTATCCATCCAGATAATGTACTGTTAGACTTAAACACTAAGCTTTAAACTTAATTTATAAATCCCCAGACTTTTCTAGAAATGGTAAACTTCTGCTTCAGGAACATTTGTATCTTAGCATTATATGTGAGTCTTAAAAGGTAGGCTTACCTCCAGATACGAAAGAGCTGAGTGGCTCCGGCTGCCCCCACAAAAAAATTAACAGCAAACAGACTCCAATTTTTTGGGATAATTACAAGTGAGTATCTTGACCAAATAAACCCTGTTGAAACAACAAAAAAATTTTTTAAAGGTATAAGTTCTGCTGCAGTAACATATTTGAATATTTAATATTAGAGTAAGGTAACTATAAATAAGACTATGACCTCAGTAATACAGGATGGAAGTCAAAGAAATGTTATACACTTGTGTCTTCAAAAACTATCTTTAAGTCGGTGCTATACAAAATTCTCAGGGGAACCTTTATAGGGCCAAGTGAATATTAAATGTAACTGTTTTTTCTACTTGTAAAGATATGCTCATGGCAAAACCCTGCAAATCAAAAACCCATGTAGGTACTTATTCCCAGCAGCATTCCACTGTCTCCTCCATCCATAATGCAGTAGCTTCCTAGAGATAAGTAACACTGTTAATTCCCTGTGTTAATTTGAATGTAAATGAATGTATGCATTCCAAAAACTAAATCATTAAATAAATTAATACAAAACAAAAAAACAACTTAGCTCTAAATGGGATATAAAAGACAATAATTCAATTTACCTGTAGCCATCAAAACACTGGATTGAGCAGGGCTGAGTTTTTCTGCAGGTCTGGCCATGTCAGCCAATCCAGCTAACACCAACCCCTGGAAATACACATTGTCACATAGAAAGAAAAAAGGCATCAGGAGTCTGGAGTGACTGCTTTTTAACTTTAAATTAAACATGAAATATTTATGAGACTTCCATATGCTAGTAGCTATAATTATAATGTCCATGCATTAAGAAAAACGTAGGTCATGACAAAAAACTACAATGAATTCAGAATGATCGCTCCTTTCATGTTTTCTGTCAATGTTATTCTTTTTTCAAAATAGAAATATTACAAAATGGTTTTAATTTTAATTTTTTTTTGGTTAGAACATTTTCTTTATATATTTCTTCTCTGGAACATTTTTAATATTGTGTTTTACAGAAATCATCCCACTCATATCCTCCCATCTGCATCATGCAGAAAGTTTAGTAAATTCTCATTAGAATATTAGTTATGTTACTTTATTGCAGAGGTTAAAATATATAATTAAAAATTTCTTAATTAACAAAATTCAAACCTACATAAAATGAGAGGCTAGTACGAAGAACCCCTACATACCTATCTCCCAGAGTTAACTATTTCCAGGTTTTTACTGAATTTCTAAAAGAGGTTCTAGTATGGAGAATATAAATCTGCAAAAATAATTTTGCTCCAAAATAGGAAATATAAATACTTATGAGTTTATTAAAAAAGTTTAAAATAAAAGAACACGTTTATGTAGTTAGTTAGTTAGTTGTGCTAGGGATCAAGCACAGGGCTTTGTACATGTGAGGCAGGCACTCTACCACTAAGCTACATTCCCAGCCCTGTCCTAATGTTTGTTTGTTTTTGAGACAGCATCTCACTATGCAGCCCAGATTGCAATCCTCCTTCCTCAGTCTCCCCAGTACAGGGATTATAGGAGTGTGCTGTCATGCCTGGCTCAAATGGTTTTAAATTAATGAAGTTAGTAGCTTAAGAAAGTAATGAAGTCAGTTTACAATCGCCCTTCCTACCTTCTTCGTGTCCCAATCTATTATTTTCTCTGCTCCATATCTGCTCTACTTCAGCACAATGGAAAACTGCCATAAGGGGAAGAAAAAGACTAACTTCTCTTATTCTATTGGCTTCATGCATTACACTGGCTCACTGGATGTATTTATAAAGATTATGAGCTATATTCTAACATTCTTTTTGAAAGATGTCAGCAGTTAGGATTATTTCTCTCTTATACATTTTATTTTTCTGAGATATGTTAGTAATTGTTTTCTCCCACAAAGATCTTGAGCAACACACACTCTCAATCTCTCTCTCACACTCTCTCTCTCTCTCTCTCTCTCTCTCTCTCTCTCTCGATAGGGTCTTGCTATGTTGCTCAGGCTGGCCTCAAGTGATTCTCCTGCCTCAGCTTCCTGGTACTACTGTAGCCACTAGGCCCAGCTTTCCCATGTTTATTTTAAAAAAAAATTCCTTTCTACTTCTATGTCATTCTAACCTTATAGAGATTATTCTACAAAATCTCATTGTGAATCTAAGCTCTGCTTATTAGCTGTTTAGCTTTGACCAAGTTACATTAACAACCTATCTTAAATTCTTCATAAGTAAAATGAGAATATTAGACCTATACTTGAAAGACTGAGGTATATTAAACAAGACAAAAAGCTTTAAAAGATTTTGCATAGTGCCTGGAAAAATCATCATTAGCAACAACAAAAATAAAAGTAGAGCTTGGCATGGTGGTGCATGCCTGCAATCCCAGCTACTTGAGAAGAGCGAGACAGGAGGATTGTGAGTTTGGGGCCAGCCTGAGCAAAAGTTAGCAAACCCTAGCTTATAAACAAAATAAAAACAAAAGAATTGGGCAGAGAAGCTAAAGTTGTAGAGTACTTGTTAGGCTCTGGGTTTAATCCCCAGTACTGCTACTTCCCCACCAAAAACAACAAAAAATTCAACAGCTAACATCTTTAGAACATAGACAAAGGAATATTATTCCTGCTACCCTTTCCTGCATTCTTAGCCTTAGGATGAGGGCAGGTCTGTGTGCCTTTTTTAACTTTATTCTGAGCTTTACTCAAATAACAGAACTGTAGATTCAGAAAGTGCTTAGAGTATAATACAAGATTATGTAAAATATTCCCTAACTTACTAAGAAAGTACCATAGTGACTAATTTAAAGGTGGTAAAATGAGTGTTTAAGAGCAAAGGCTATGGAGTCAAATAGACCTGGAGGTTTAACTCCTGACTTTGCCACTTACTAAAATGCATAGTCATTTAGTTCTTTGAACCCATTACCCTTACTTGGAAAATAGCAGTAATATTTATTTCTCAGATTATTTTTGGATGAGGATTAAATAAGACATGTATTAAACAACCTGGTACAGACAATTTGGCATCCAGAAGACTCAAACTAGCTCCTGTTGCTCTCATCAATTAAAAGATGTTTTCGAATGTCTAAAGCCCATGTTTCACATTTGTGGTTCCCTTCCCTCTCCTCCCTTTCCCTCCCTCCCTCCTTCTCTCTCTCATTTTTCCAATATTTTATTGCTTATGTGCCAGGCTGGGTGGGGTGGCATACACCTGAAATCCAAGTACTTGGGAGACAGAGGCAGGAGGATCATGAGTTTGAGGCTAGCCTAGGCTATATATTGAGTTTACGACCAGCCTGAGCTACACAAGAAGACTGTTTGAAGCCCACCTCAAAAAACACCCACCCAACATATATCACGTGACACTTTTAGAGAAGGAGTGTTAGAAAGATACCACCATAGACTATACCCCAACTTCAAAATGCTTAGAGATAGCAAAGTCGTTAGGATCTTAAACTGAATTAATCTATATAACTAGTTCCAGCTTGAAAAGGAAATAGGAATTGAAAATCTGCATACTAAGCTATATTACATGCTATACTTTCAAAAGCTAAGTAACAGGTGTTGTGCAAAAAAGACTATAAAAATAAAGAAAATTTTCTTAACTTTCTTTATGTACACTTCCCAGGCCAGCCAATTTTTTCATGCCCATGGCATGTGAACACTTACGGATAGTGGGCCAGTCTCTAGTGCACTCATGCATTTTTTTACTAGCACACAGTACTGGATTTCAATGCACCATTTTTATACATGCATATAACATACTTTGATCATGTTCACCCCTCCATAATGCTCTCTTATCCCATTCTCGATTCCCTTCCTCCTCCCCTAATAGTGTCCCTTCTACTTTCATTTCTTTAACATTCCACATATGAGAGAACACATGTGATACTTGTCTTTCTGAGTCTGGCTTATTTTGTTTAACATGATGGTCTTCAGTTCCATCCATTTTCATAGGGCTAGAGAAGCTGGTGGCTCACACCAGTAATCCAACCTACTCAGGAGGAAGAAATGAGGAGGACAGCAGTTGGAATCCAACCCTAGGTAAATAGTTCATGAAACCATATCTTGAAAAAAACCCATCATAAAAAAGGGCTGGAAGAGTGGCTCAAGTGGTAGAGTGCCTACCTAGCAAGTGCAAGGCCCAGAGCTCAAATCCCAGTACTGCCAAAAAAAAAGAAAAAAAAAAAGAAGTGAGCAGTTCTATCCATTTTCCTGCAAATAATATAATTTTGTTTTTATGGCTGAATAATACTCCACTGTGTATATATGCCACATTTTCTTTATTCATTCACCTGCGGATGGGCACCTAGGTTAATAATCATTACTTGGTTGTTGTGAAGAGTGTCACAATGTCATGGTGTGCAGATGTCTCTGTTCTATGCTGACATTGATTCCTTCCAGTATATACCCAGGGTATTCATGTATTTTTGCTTTCATTAGGTGAACTGTAGTATTACCAAGTCACTGTGTCTGTCCTCAAGTCTATTTATGCCAGTTCTACTGTTAATATAATTTGCATAGTTGGCTGCAATTATTAGGTTAACAGGTGACATCCACAAAGATGGTTATTTTTGTGAATACCAAATTTAGTGTGAACAAAACAAATGTAGATTTGGACAAAAACCATATAAAATTTAGCAGCTTTCTTTTCTCATACCGTTTCGAAGAATCTATGAACTTACTCTGCTTTAAAGAAACCTAAACTGAAAATTCTATAAGGTGCACTATGGTATAATTTATCCTAGATAGGAAAGATTATCTGGTTTCAACTACAGTGGCTAAGATGAGCTTTACCATAGATAGTTAAGTGTCTGAAGAAGTATGGTCTGAGAGTCAATACAGAACACATGTGGCTTGCAGCAGCAACTGCTGTGTCATGGAGAGACTTACCAAAGTTCAGGGTAAGAAAACATACTCATATGTACAGAAAGCACGTATCTCATGAAAAGTTTCCCCACCAGAGAACAAGACACAGAAGTTTCTATTGCTATGCTGTTTTCAGGAGACTGTGCATAATTTCAACATGGATTTAAAACAGATGTTTGTGAAGGAGACAAATAATTAAGAAGGCACTTCTGAGTACATAATACTGTCAGTGTCTCAAAACACTCACTGACCAGGACAAACAAATACCAAAGTTACTGATAAAAACCAATGGTTATGGTCAAATTAAAGGTCAAACAGGTCCCCTAATTTATTGCAAATATATGAAATCAGTCTTACTTTCTCAATGATTGTGCTTGTAACAATAATCCAACAATTGATTCTACTTTATAGATACATTACTATAAAGTTTTTTTTTCAGTGTTGGAGACTGAACCCAGGTCCTCATGCATTCTAGGCAAGTTCTCTACTTCTGAGCTATGCTCCTGACCTCTAATTACTTTAAAATTTAGGTGTAAAATAGGTGTGAAGAGAAAAGGAAGGAAATAGTGTAGTCTGTTCCATCAATATAAGGGCTGTTTTTGTTTTTTTTTTGCATACCAATTTTTTTTTTTTGGGGGGAGGCAGTAGTGGGTTTGAACTCCAGGGTCTTGTACTTGCTAAGCAAATACTCTACCACTTGAGCCACATCTCCAATACCACCACACTATTTTTGTTTTGTTTTTTTTGTTTTTGGATGATACCAATTAAGTTTTTATTTTTTTTCCTTTTTCTTTTATTATTCAAATGTGCATACAAGGCTTGATTCATTTCTCCCCCCTGCCCCCACCCCCTCCCTTACCACCCACTCCGCCCCCTCCCCCTCCCCCCCAATACCCAGCAGAAACTATTTTGCCCTTATTTCTAATTTTGTTGAAGAGAGAGTATAAGCAATAATAGGAAGGAACAAGGGTTTTTGCTGGTTGAGATAAGGATAGCTGTACAGGGCATTGACTCACATTTGATTTCCTGTGCGTGGGTGTTACCTTCTAGGTTAATTCTTCTTGAACTAACCTTTTCTCTAGTACCTGTTCCCCTTTTCCTATTGGCCTCAGTTGCTTTTAAGGTATCTGCTTTAGTTTCTCTGCGTTGAGGGCAACAAATGCTAGCTAATTTTTTAGGTGTCTTACCTATCCTCACCCCTCCCTTGTGTGCTCTTGCTTTTATCATGTGCTCATAGTCCAATCCCCTTGTTGTGTTTGCCCTTGATCTAATGTCCACATATGAGGGAGAACATACGATTTTTGGTCTTTTGGGCCAGGCTAACCTCACTCAGAATGATGTTCTCCAATTCCATCCATTTACCAGCAAATGATAACATTTCGTTCTTCTTCATGGCTGCATAGAATTCCATTGTGTATAGATACCACATTTTCTTAATCCATTCGTCAGTGGTGGGGCATCTTGGCTGTTTCCATAACTTGGCTATTGTGAATAGTGCCTCAATAGACATGGGTGTGCAGGTGCCTCTGGAGTAACAGTCTTCTGGGTATATCCCCAAGAGTGGTATTACTGGATCAAATGGTAGATCGATGTCTAGCTTTTTAAGTAGCCTCCAAATTTTTTTCCAGAGTGGTTGTACTAGTCTACATTCCCACCAACAGTGTAAGAGGGTTCCTTTTTCCCCGCATCCTTGCCAACACCTGTTGTTGGTGGTGTAGCTGATGATGGCTATTCTAACAGGGGTGAGGTGGAATCTTAGTGTGGTTTTAATTTGTATTTCCTTTATTGCTAGAGATGGTGAGCATTTTTTCATGTGTTTTCTGGCCATTTGAATTTCTTCTTTTGAGAAAGTTCTGTTTAGTTCACTTGCCCATTTCTTTATTGGTTCATTAGTTTTGGGAGAATTTAGTTTATTAAGTTCCCTATATATTCTGGTTATCAGTCCTTTGTCTGATGTATAGTTGGCAAATATTTTCTACCACTCTGTGGGTGTTCTCTTCAGTTTAGAGACCATTTCTTTTGATGAACAGAAGCTTTTTAGCTTTATGAGGTCTCATTTATCTATGCTATCTCTTAGTTGCTGTGCTGCTGGGGTTTCATTGAGAAAGTTCTTACCTATACCTACTAACTCCAGAGTATTTCCTACTCTTTCCTGTATCAACTTAAGAGTTCACCACACTATTTTTGAATACTTTGAGCAGAACTATTAAAGATGATCTATTCAAGCTTATTTATTTTTAAACTGATGGGACCTTTTCTCAATATATAAATGTGAGAAAAGAACTGCTTCCTAGTTGTCTATAAAACCCAATTCCCAATCCACTAATCTATTTTGATCTTCTCATTGTATAGCTGAGGAGATAAAATTGTCAGACTAAATTTGTCTAAGTTTGTAAGACTAAATTTGTCTAAGTTTGTAAGACTGAGGCATACCCAATTCCCCTCTAAATTCTTAACTACTTGGATTTACAGTTTCTAAAAAGAGAAGTAAAATAGTCTACAATTCAACAACAACAAACAGCTTGACTAAAACTTAAAAAAAAAAAGGCGGCAGGGCAAAGGACATGAATAAACATTTCTCCAAAATTTTTTTTTCAATACTGGGGACTGAACTTGGGCCTTTGAGCCAAACTTCCAACTCACAACAGAAGAACAAAATGTCCTGTATACATGCAATTCAACAGTGGCTACTCCTCTGGGGGTTGTCTTTGGCAAGAGTTATTTTGCCTTTCCTTCCCTTTGCTTGGTATTCTTAAATTCTAAAGAGAAGTTGCACCTAAATGATCAAGATGTTATCTGCTACACAATCTTTCTTTATATTTAGAGAACCCAGACTATCTGGTAACCTTCAAATTATACCTAAGTACATAATGCCCCTCTTTTTCAGTCCTGTGCATCAACTAACACAAAGCATATAAATTGCTGTGAGGTTTAACTTTCAGAAAAGTGCTATGTCTCAAGAACTATGGGAACTAATTGCAGAAGATTAGGTCCACTGTGATGTTTTAGACAGAGGGAAAAAGAAAAAAAGGAGACAAACACCCTAGATGATGAAGACTTTGCCTAGAATGTAGTCAATCTCTTGGTACACTGCCTCCCTATACCCCCCTATAAAATCTTTTCCTGTACCTGAGTCTCGCAAGACATTTTTTGGGAGATAATAGCGCCTTCTCCATCTTCCCCTTCCCCTTATTTTTGTGGTGCTGAGGACTGAACCCAGGGCCTTGCACTTGCTAGGCAGGAGCTGTATCACTGAGCTACCTCCCCAGCCTTGCCCAATTTCCTTCTCACCAACTCTCCACTCTGTAGCATTGGCTTTCAAGCAGCAAGCAGCTGGACCTGGGTCTGATAACACAATGGAATTCTATTCAGCCATCAAATAAAGGAACTTTTAACATATGCTACAACAAAGATGAAACTTAAGGACATTATGCTAAGTGAAATATGCCAGCCACAAAAAGACAGAGTCTATGATTCCACTTACATAGGGATCTAGAGTAGCCAAATTCATAGAGACAAAAAGTAGAATGGAGCTGGGTGTTGGTTGCTCATGCTTGTAATTCTACCTACTTGGGAGGCAGAGATCAGGAGGATTGAATTTGGAGACCAGCCTGGGCAGATAGTTTGAGAGACCCTCTCTTGAAAATTTCCAACATAAAAAAAGGGCTGGTGGAATGGCTCAAGTGGTAGAGTGTCTGTCTATCAAGCATGAGGCCCTGAGTCCAAATACCAGTACTGCCAAGAAAACCCCAAACAAACAAACAAATAAAACTAGAATGATATTTTACAGGGGGAAGGGGGAAGAGTTGCATAATGGTTATAAAGTCTTCATTTTGCAAGATGCAAAGTGTTCTGGAGACTGGCTGCATGATATGAATGCATTTAGCACTACTGAACTATATATTTAAAAACTGGTTCAGATGGTAATTTAGTATGTATTTTGTCATATTTTTAAAAATGTTTGCAGACCAGTAGTTTTCAAACTTTAGAGGCCATCAGAATCACACGGAGAGGTTATTAAGACACACCTTGCTGGCCTACATCCCCAGAGTTTTGGCTTAGTAGATCTGCGATGGGGTCTAAAGATTCACATTTCTAACAAGTTGTCAGATGCTGTTACTGCATGTCCAGGGATGACACTTTGAGAAACAGAGATAGAGACTGAAACTGGTCCTTTCAACCCAGTATCAGTGATTTGCTACAAATGCCAACTGTGATGATTTTTTTCCAGTTCAATGAGAAATTTAGGAAAGAAAATTCTGGTGTAGAGTAAAAGCATTGGACTTGCAGTTTATTTATATATATTTATACCTATTTATCTTTTTTTTCCTTTTCTCCCTTCTCTTCCATTCCCTTTCCTTCTCTTTCTTTTCTTGTAGTAAAGATTGAAACAGGGACTTGTGTGTGCTAGATAAACAGTCTAACCCTGAGCTACAACCCAAACTTACTCTTTGAGACAAGATCTCACAATGTAGGCTAAACTGTCCTCAAACACACAACCCTCCTGCTTCAACCTATCAACTGCTGGGATTACAGTTGTAGGCCACCACGCCTGGCTCCAGTCAAGAAAGTACAGTTCTGCCCACAACTGTACATTTTGATAAGAAATATGTTCCTAGAAGACCTCTTATCTAAGGAGTTGAGAAAAACTAAAGCAAGTAGTATGCTTTATGCAGTGAAAATGATACATCTGAGAATATCTGCAGTAAAATTAGTTAGAGGCATAACAAAAATATTTTTAAAGTATGTCCTTCATGAAATTTAGCTCCAATTAATAAGTTTCTATTAAGAATACATTTTTCTAGTAGCTTCTGCTAAAAGTTAAGACTTACCCATTTCATAATTGGAGCCCAGAAAAATACCGTCCTGGGGCCTGAGATAAATAAAAAGAGAAAAATTCAGGAATAAACCAAATATTTTATATACACATGTCTTCTCCCTCCCCCCCCTCCAATGATAATGGAGTTTTAACTTAGGGACATTTGCTTGTTAGGTAGGCACTCTACCCCTTAAGCCATGGCCACAAGCCCTTTTTGCTTTAGTTATTTTTTGGATTGGGTCTTGAGCTCTTTGCCTAGGATCAGAACACAATCCTATTTATTAAGCCTCCTGCATAACAAGGATTGCAGCCATGCACCACCACACCTGGCCTATACATGTCTTCTAACAGCCATCACCAAATTTCAAAACACAAAGATTTTTCAGTCTATTTCTAGCCATTTTTACTGTTTTTTGTTTTAACATTTAGAAGGATACAACAGTGTTATAGTATCAGTCTTTCACAGGATTTGTTGTGATCTCCATGTAAATTATTTGTATTTGCGACCTGTTAAAAATTAGGTAAGACATAGTGGAGATGGCTCTGGAAACCATTCCTAGAGCTTTGCCTTTAACATGGAACTTAATGTTAGTCCAGTCACCATTGGTCTTCAAATTGGGAAAATTGAAAATTATGAAATTTTAGAGATACAAGCTTTAGTAGATATATATATTCACTAATTTTATTAGTATTTATAACTGTAAGTGACATTTTACTATAATGTATCTCAGATACGTATGACAAATATTTGTCAACAGAATTGATATAGATTCAGTTAATCTATATCAATGTCTAGGATAGATATTTTATCGTATGCATCACAATGAGAGTTCTGTACATTCTACTAAAAAGTTAATGAACTTTTTTTTTAAAAAAACAGTGCTGGGGATCAAATTCAGAGCTTTGCACATGCTACATAAGCATGTGCTTATGTACACAGCGATACATTCCAAGTCCAATGAACCGAATTTTAAAGTTCACATGAGAAAGAGGAAAGAGTACTTAGGAACTTCTTCATAGCAGAGTCCTTGTTTTAGCCATCCTGGTACCCATCTGCCCTATGTATTGAAAATAATTCTTGTTTTATTGTTTATTAATCTAGAATTTGAGATGCACAATGTTTCAGAACTGGAAGGAAACTCTTTCATTTTATCAGAGATGCTCCCGGTCCTACTCAAGTCTTGCAGCTTGTAAGCAGCAGACTGTGTTAGAACCTCAGTTCTAAGATGCAAAGGGTTCTGGAGACTGACTGCATGATAGTCTGCAAATCCTTTAACTAGTGCTCTTTTTACGTAACTCTTCCTAATTACACAACTCTTTTCACCCTCAGGGCATACAGTGAGAGGCCAGAAAGAGACTCTGTCCAGGGAGTTTAAAATGTAATTTAACTTGCTAAGTCCTATATATACCAGAACATTTAATATGCTGTGCATATTCTTATAATTGGATCAACAAAATGTATTTATTAATGTACACACTGAGCAATGTTCCATAATACAACAGTGATTTATAAGCAAATTCAAGAAAGTTAAAACCTATTGTATCCATCATTATTATTGCTGCCTTTACATTATACTTTACTTTGCAAGAATAATTAGTCTCTCCGGATCACACACACACAAAAGGTCACACTGAAAGTTTGGTGTCACCTTCTAGGTATAAAATATTTTACTTCTCTTCATCCTCTCTCAAATAATACTTCTCAGGGCTAACAGATAAAGATGCATTTATGCCTTTTCCACCAAATAGTACTCATTCTCATTATAAGATGTATTTCTGGTCACATGCTTAAATAACACTTAAAAGGTACAACTGAGTTAGAACTATTATTTAGAAATGAAACAAAAGAAGAGAACCACATTAAGATCCAGTTGTAGTTCTGGGTCTAGTTTGCTGCAGACAAGGTCACCACTCCTTCATCTGCCCATAATAATTACTGCATGACTTACAGTGTACCAGGCACTGAGGATACATTAGTGAAGAAAATACAGTGCTGGCTTTTAATGATCTGACAGGAAGACTATTTAAGTAAAATCATGTCTGGAAGCCATATAAAAACAATTTATAGAAAGTTAATTCTTAAGTATTTCCATCGAAATCATACTAGTTTCATTCTTTGGTAATACCAGCACACCAAATGAAAATGAACCCAGTGGTAACAATCCTATTTTGATAATTCTTTTTTTTTTTTTTGGCAGCACTGGGTTTGAACTCAGGTCCTCACACTTGCTAGGCAGGCACTCTTACCGCCTGAGCCACTCTACCAGCCCAACGATCCTGTTTTGGAACCACTATCAAAAGAGTTGGTTGACAGCCAAGTGTGGTGGCACACCCCTGTATTCACAGCACTCAGAAGGCTGAGGCAGAAGGATTGCAAATTTGAGGCCAGACTGGGTTACACAGTAAGACTGTCTCAAAAGAAAAAAAAAAAAGTAGTTGGTTAATTTTAATATTAAGCAGAAAAAATTAGAAACATGTAAAAATAGTTGCTTTCTCTGTAAATTTTTCTTATTGAGTAATTCTAGGAAAATATCATAGTCACTATGAGTTTATAGTTCATTACTTGCCTTTTCCATTAAGTGATAGCAACATTATGTATCTTGGACTATTTTTTCACAATTTAAGACTCCTTGATATTTTTTGCCCTTCTCAAACTAATTCACATTATTCTTACAGCTAAATCCATTAACTCAATGTAATCTGAGTACAACAGGATTTAAAAATCTGCCCACAGTACACTTTAAATAGTAGTGGTGTATCTACTTACCTATCAAGATTATGATTTGAGGTTAGTAGCTTCATACTTGCATAAACAGTATTAACATTAAATGAAGAAAGCCAGCATAGAATGCAGTCTACATTAATTGGAGTTTATTATCCTAATTTCTAAGTAAATATTTATTTCCACATATAAATACATTAGTATGTGCACATATAAATACACTTTGTAATATACTAGGCCCTCTGTACTTGTGATCTCCAAATCTGTAAATTCAACCAATGGGAGACTGAAAACATTTGGAAGCTGAGTGTGGTGGTACATACTTGTAATCTCAGCACTAGGGAGGCTGAGGCATGAGGATCTCAGGCTAGTTCAAGACTAGACAGAGTTACATAGTGAGTTCCAGGTCAGGCTAGGCTACACAGCAAGAACTATCTTTTATTTTTGTACTTTTTTATTGGTGGTACTGGGGTTTGAACTCAGGACCTTGTGCATGCCGGGCAGACTCCTGATCTACCACTTGAACTATACCCCACATCCAAGAATCTGTCTTTAAAAAAATGAGAAAATATTTGGGAAAAAAATTTCACCTGAACATGTACAGATTTTTTTCTTAAGATTGTCTCCTAAGACAATATAGTTTAACAAGTATTTGCATACCACTTACATTGTGTTAGGTACTGAGAGTAATCTAGAGATGATTTAAAGTACACAAAAGGACATGCTCAGATTATGAAAATACTACACCATTTTATTTAAGAGTCTTAAGCATCGTCACATTTTAGAGTCTTGGAACCCAATCCCTTTTGGATAACCAGGGAGGACTACTGTAAAGTCAAAAGTTCTTTTTATCAGGCTGATATTTAGATATTGGTAAGTCTGGTTTACCTTTTTTATTAAAATGTGTGCTGCTGAGGACTGAACCCAGGGCCTCAAGAATGCTAGTGGCTTATAGTTTAAGTTTGCTGATTTCCTATTTTAATTAAAAAGTTCCTCTACCGCAATCTAAATCTTCTTTTTTTATTCTCCAATGGAGCTGGATACCATCTTTAAAATAATTCTTCAAAAAAAAAAAATTCTTCAAATACTCCAAGATCGTGGCACAGACCCTGTCTTTCCTTCTGAGGAGAAACAACTATTAATGCTAAAGTTCATTTTCTCACAAATATCTGGTATTTAGTCATTTTCATGTTTTCCTGTGTACCTTCACATTTTCCATATTGTAAGTTGTGGAAAAAATCTGGAGACAGTGCTGAAATGGTTGATGAGAGAATTTAAATTTAATTTTGATGTTTACACTTAAGTGAAAAAAATCTACAAATATTCAATTTCTAGTTTACTGTTCTCATCTTTTCTAAGCATGGTTTCCTAAGTTCTGTACTGTACTGAACACACCCACCATTATATTTAGAATTCTAGACAGATCCCTTTCTTTCTTTCTGATTGGGAAATAACTTTCTTCTTTGATTAAGTTAGAATTTCAAAGAAACTTTTACTAAGGAAAAAATAATTTTTTTTTTTTAAACAGGGTCTTGCTATGTAGCCCACACTGGCTTGGAACTTGTGATCATCCTACCTCTGCCTCCTGAGTGCTAGGATTTACAAGCATGTACCACTATGACTGGCCAAAAAAATGGGGGGTGGTGGGAAGAATTTAAAAGATGAAGGCATTGTGTTTGAAATATAAATTTTGAATTCTAATTTACTAAATTTCAGCTGAGGTCAGTGCTTCTCAAGTGAGAGTGATTTTTGCCACCATGGGGCCGCTCCACCAGCCCCTTTTTTGTGTTGGTTATTTTGGAGATAGGATCTTGCAAACTATTTGCCTGTGCTGTCTTCAAACTGTGATCTTCCTGATCTCTGCCTCTTGACATGATAAGATGACATTTTTAGTTGCTACAAATAGGTGGTGGCAATGGTGGTACTGGCTGCTGCTATTACTACTGCCATCTAGTGGGTAGAGATCTGGGATGCTATTAAATATCACTGTCCACTGCAAAGGATCATACAGCTCGAAAAATGTCAAGAATGCAAAGTTAAGAAATTCTCTTACCTAAATTGACAAGGTAGGTGAATATTCAGCTAGCTTTGTGCTGTTTTATGGATCTACACTTGAGCTTATGCAGCCCAACATTCTGCCTTGTCTTCACGTAACTCTCATCCTTCAAAAACTCACCTTGGGTTTCATCTCAAGGATGCCTTCTTTAACATTGCCGGGTTAGGCTAAATACGCATGCCTTCAGCTTTCAAAGCAACCTGGATATTCTCTATTTTCTGTACTAATGAAAATGATTATACATGTGTCACTTTAACCAGACAATAAATTCCTTAA